TTATCCTAATTTTTTCAAAAAGCAATCCAAAGTAATGAGTAGTGCAGCAGTTTATGTAATTACTGTAGTTACTTTTGCAGCATTGTGATGAATGACAGGAATAAGTTACTTTTAAACAAGTAGCTTCCCAAGTTTTGATGTGTCTTGTTTTAAAGATATTTTATTGTGGGAGCCACTTGGAGTGGCACAACAATTTTTCAAATAAATAATAAATGTAGAAGCATGGGCTCTCGAAGCTTGAATTATACTGGCTTTACATCCCTGTGAGATTGTTTACAACCACAGCACATTTGTGTATTATAGCAAATGTCCTCTAGAGTGTATGGTACATAGGGATGTAGCTATAGAGGTGAGGGCATTAAATTGGTTCCCCCATAAGAATTCTGCCCCCCATTAAAAAAATTCCTCCAGTCCCCAATTTTCTAGCATTGCCGAGAATGAGACACTGGGCTTTTGCATATTGCCAGAAATAGTGCAAACTGAGTCCACTTTAACTGCTCTGGCTCAGTGCTAGGGAATCATGGGAATTGTATTTTTATCTGAAACATTGAGCCTTCTCTGTCAGAGAGCTCTGTTGCCACAATAAACTACAGTTCCCATGTTTCCCTAGCACTGAGCCAGGGCAGTTAAAGTGGACTCAATTTGCACTATTTCTGGCAGTCTGCAAAGGCCCACTGTAAATCATTCACAGCTAGAATTTTTCCATTTGCTCTGTTTGCATTTTCTTGGTGAATTTTCCTGCCCTTTTTCTTTGGATGCTTCAGCTGTACTGTATTTTCAAATGCCTAATTGAAGTCTGCATCTACATTTCAGAATTAATGCAGTTTAACACCACTTTAACGGACATGGCTAAATGTGATAGAACAAACTACAAATGACAGGATTCCATAGGATGTAGCAATGACGTTAAAGCGGTGTCAAACTGCATTAATTCTGTAGTGTGGCAGGAGCCAAAGTGTGAAGTTATTGCAATGCTAGAAATCTGGGCACAGAGAGAATTTTTTTATTTGGGAGGGGCATAATTCTTATTGGGGCACAATACACTCATTTTACCTCATCCCATTGATAAACTCCTGTGGTAAATTATTGTGGTTTGTGCCATGATATCACACCAGGATAGCAACCGTGTGGCCCTCCTGATGCAATTGGATTGCAGCTCCCACCATTCCTTATCATTGGTTGTGTGGGCTAGGGTTGCTGAGAATTGCAAACTTAACAATATTGGGAGAGCTGTATGCCTCTCACCTTTACTGTTGCAGTATAGTTGTACATAAGTCCTACTCAGAAGTCAGTCCAATAGAGCTCAATAGGGCTTCCTTCCATGAAAATAAGTATAAGATTGCAGTAATAATCACAGAAGTGTGTGCTGGTTCTGGAAAAAAAAATCAGCTTAGATGTGCTCTTTCTTTATTGCCACTGCAAGAACTTGTTGATACATCACCCACACACCTTGTGCCTGTGAGCATATACACTTGTACTCTATGTACCATCTTACCCTCATTCTCTCCCACATAAAAACACACATTCACATGCCATCAGTGCCAAAGGTGATAAAAAAAACACACAAGTTATACAAAGGACTGGATCTTTCTCTACGTACTTGTTTAATCTCTAGACTAAACAAGCAACCTTCATCTCAACCTTTCCTCCCAGTATCGGATACTCTAATTGTATGTGCCAGGAATGCTTTAGATGCACCCAGTGGTAAATTCAAGGCATTTCGTGGGTACAGCTGGCCAAAGGCATTCTTGCTGTTTGATTCAAAGGACAAAATGTTTCACCTCCTATGACCTCCCCCCCATTCCATGTATAGATATTGATTGGATTTCTTTGTTTTAACACTGGTGATGGGCACAGTTTTCTCCTAGGGCCTTATCAAACGCTGGCCAGGAAGCGAAAAGTAAGCGAAAACT